TGAGATTTTGAGAAAGTTGTAGACGCTTTGGGTGTCATGTTGAAGTTGAACTTTGTCTAGCATCCGTGGACGGAATAGACAGACAAAGAGAACTATCTAGTATGTAGGGGATTTGTGGAGAGCTTGTGTGTTGGATCAAGGTGGATCGTAGGATAGTTAATTATCGTTGCTTGAATTATCTACAATGACAATGATCATTCTAGTATCGGAATGACATTGTATGAGGCTTTGTACGGTAAGAGGTGTAGGAATCCTTTGTGTTGATGTGTGCCAGGCGAGAGTGTTGTACTCGGACTTGAGATTGTGCAAGAGACGACTAGAAAGATTAAAAGAACCCAAGAAAAGACGTGTTTCGAGAGTTACAATAGTAACTGGTGTCGGTCGAGCTTGAGGTCTCAGAAGCACCCACTGTGTTTTGTTGATCTGTATCAGAGTGGCGCAGCGGAAGCATGGAGAAAATAGCATGTTAGATTGTTTTACTGCTGTCGCTTGTGGGAATTGCATGATGTGCTCATGTGTCTAAGTTGAGGAAGTGCAGTGATTCAGATGGATAGTGTACGAGTAAGAGAGGATTTGATTGTTGAGACATTGCCAGTTCAGGTTGATGAACGAGAAGCAACTTCGAGGTATAGAGATTCCTTTGGTGGAGGTAGTTGGGAGATTAGGATGCGAGAGTCGTATCCAGAGTTATTTGAATCAGGTAACATTTTCGAGGACGAAAATTCCTAAAGTGGGAGAGGGTTGTAACAGCCCAATTTTTCAATAAGTGATTAATTGTGCTAATTAATTGGTTTATGTGACTTATCTGATTTAAATAAATTATTGGATTTATTTAAATGAGTTAATGGATTTAATTAATTTATTCTACTTTGTAGAATAATATGGATTTATTAGATATTCTCTAATTAATGATAAAATGAGATATTTTGTGAGAAATGAATTTATAGATATTTTTGAGAGAAGAATTATGATGGAAAGAAAATAAAAGGATATATAAGGGAAATTGGAGAGAAAAGAAAAGGGATAGAAACATAAGAGAAAAGAACGAAAGAAAATGAGAGAAAGAATAGAGAAAGAGGAGAAAAGGGAAGAGAAGAGAGAAACTTGGAGAAATCATCAAGAATCAACTTCAAGCTTCAATCCAATCAAGGTAAGGGTGAGAAACATTATTATTTGATCAATGTGTATGATTATGTATGAGTTGTGTTGGATTTGTTGGGTGTTTTTCTCTATTTTCCATTTCTAGGGCAAATGAGTTAAATCGATAGAATCGAGTTTTGAACGGTTAAAATTCAAAATAAATTGCATAGTTTAGTCGGGTAATATTTAGCCGTGATTATTGGATTTCGTTTGATTGAATTTGGTTGAGTTTGTGAGTTTTGACATTTTTGGATAATGGAGGGTTTGAGATTTGAGTGAAAATCGGACGTCGTAGAAATCGTGTTTAATGGTTCTAATTCATTGCTATATGTTAGGTGAGTATGAGTATGTATTTGTTTCGAAAAAAAGAATTGAATCGGTCGGATTTTCGGGCGAAAATGCAAAATCCCGTAGCCGTGTTTAGGCAAAATTCTGGTTTTTCGGAAAACTTTGAAAATTCATAACTCTTGAATCGTAAGTCGGTTTTGACCCCCGTTAGAAGCGTTGGTAAGTTAACGAGATTATCTTTCTAGAAAAAATGGCTTTGAGGCCTGTACCTGGTTCAATTATAGCAGAAAGTTGAAAACATATTGTTGTGTTGATTTTTACCGTCGCGAATGTGTGTGATTGATGTGTTATTGTGCAGAATACTTTTGTTATATAATGTATAGCTTGTGCATGTTGTGATATGATATGCTGTGGGTAGCCGTATGGCGTGAATCCTAGATGGTGGAATCGATTATGAAATATAGTCTTTTGACAAATATATGCATATTGTTTGTATGTGAAGAATGCATGAGAACATATTGTGAATATGTGTGCATTGTTTGAAAAGGTAATGAGGTTGAATTATGAATGCATATTTGTTGTATCCGATTATTGTGAATTAATGCATGAGAGCATACTGTAAGATATGCGTGCATTGTTTGACAAATATGTTGATGAAAAGTATGAATACTTGATTATATGATATGTTGTGTGTGCAATCTTGTTTAATTCTTGAAGGGAGGAATTATGTGAATGCATGAGATTAAGACGTGTGATCGGTCTTAAGTGCATTTTGTTGTTGATTGCATATGAATCATTTAGTCAAGAGGCAATGTTTGCTAGTTTCGTGGAGGCTAGTGACTTGTCCCAAACCTAGAGCGGGGTTTGAAAACTTAGGGAACGGGCTTTTGTTGTTATCGGTCTAGGGAACGGACCCGGTTTAAGTGTAAAAACCGAAAAATGATAACAAGTGTTGGTACCACATGGCATGAGTTGCATTGAGTCTCATGGAATGAATATATGATTGTTGTATGAAGTTATGCATAGGTGTATGTACATGACTTGTGTAATTGTGAACTATGGATATGTTTGATGATTGTCCATATTTGCCTATATATATATATATATATATATATATATATATATATATATATATATATATATATATATATATATATATATATATATATATATATATATATATATATATATATATATATATATATATATATATATATATATATATATATGCTTTGTGAAGTATATGATGAGTTATGATGAAGTATGGTGAGAATGGTGGAAGATACGTATGTGCATTACTTGTGTAATTGAGAGTTATGAATATGTGATCATTGTATGAAAGTATGCTTATGAACATGAATTGTTGATTTGAGAATTGTGAATGTGTAATTGTGAATTAGTGAGTAAACATAATATGTGTATGTTCATGTGGAATGTTGAGATTTATGGATACGTGCGTGATGAATATGCTTGGCGATTATCCATATTTGATTATATATATGTTGTATTGTACATGATGAGTTATAATGAATTGTTGTGAGAAATTGTGGAATATATGTATTTTGTGCTTGTGTATTTGTGTATATATAATTATATGCATTGTTATTATGATAATATTTCTCACCCTTCTGCTGGAATGATGTCCTACATGACATCGTGCAGGTATCAAGGAGTAGTATTGTTCGTAGTTACGAGGTCGCTTTTGGTGTAGCCGTTTAGTGATTTAATTATGTTGGGTCGAGTCATGCTCTGGTCATGTAACACTGGGATCGCTTCGGTTGTGTTTAAGATATATATTATGTACTCTATAAACGTGTTTATATCCATTGGAGTATTATGATGTTGGCCTTAGTGCCTAAGTGATGTTGTTTTATGTGATAAAAACAAATGTTTCTTTTATGAAAATTGTGGTATAATTGAATCCGCTGTTACATGCAAAGTGAAGTTTTGTAAAGCATAATTTTATATTGAAATAGTAATGAGCATGACAGGTGGTTTTGATATTTTGAAAGTTATGTATAATGCCCTTTTGTAAATGCATGGAAATTTACTCTAATTATTCATATATTATCCGTGGGGTTTATAAGGGTGTTACATAAAGCATGGAACACCAACGAATATAGATGGCTATTCCTTGATTAAGCAAATTCCTGTTCCAAATTTCTCAATATACTTTCTATTATTTATTACTATTTCTTCTTTAAATTTTCTGTTTCATTTATAATATATAGAAGACAATATTATAAAGTCATTCATGTTAAGTATTAACAAGTGTGAGTAGTGTGGATTAGTTTCACATTGGATAGGAATGAGATGACTTGAGCATTTATAAGTGAGAGAATTCATACACCTATTAATTTAAAGTTTTGAGTGAGTATGTGGTGTGTCTCTCACAAAGTTGTTGTTCTAGAAATAAAAAGACTTATAATATTCAATGCATCCTAGTTGAAAAATCTCCCTTATCAAAAGTATTCCCACAGATTGTGAGTAGAGCGGCAACGGCGGTAATTCATTATTTTTTATTTTCATATAAAATTAATTACATCTTTTAATTCAAGTGAAATGTTACAAATATCTTATAATTTAGAACCGAGATAAGATAAATGTGCGCACCCTTTTCACTTTTTTTACGTTGCAAAATTATTGTATTATTACCTCATTTTTACACAAATAAGTTATTATTGCATTATGATTTGAGTTTTTACATAAATTCAGTTATGAGTTTTTACATAAATTTGGTGTGATTGTATCACATTTAATGACTTTGATAAGTTTTTTTTTTTTTTTTGAAATTTTAGTTGTTTTGAGAGATTTAAACAGTAAATTTTTTTTTTATAAAAAACAGTAAAAAAATTTAATTAATGAAAAATTATTAAAATTGTCAAATTTAAGAGGGGTATCAGTTTTACTTCAGTTTTATAATACAAATATTATTTTTGCCCAATTTATGGAAAACAAATTCATCTAGAAGGAGTAAATTTCTACAAATGAGGTCAGCAACTTTCCTATTTTCAAGGAGGAAATACTACATATTTTATTATTCTGTTTTTTTAAACTAGAAATATGCTACTCTTTTCGGTGACTATTATAAAAATAAATAAAAAAATCACCTTAAATTATGGTTACTACTTACTATTATAAACAAAAATTAATATTTCTATTATTAATATATCTTTAATTTAATTTGAAAATATTTAATGTTGATAATTAATTCATCAAATATAATTAAAAATATTATAATAAATTTTTTATTATACATGAAATTAAAAAAATTAATTATATTTAATTAACTTTTTAATTAATGTGAAATTAATTATTTTTACAATTTAAATTAACGATATAGTACTATATCCAAAAAAATATTAACGATAGTAAACTTTATTATCAAAAATAACAGACAAAAAAGAAAAAATGAAGAACCATTAAGAATAAGTGCAACCTCGTAACGCCAACACATAATAAAAACATTCTTAATCCATAACAACCGTGATCATCATCACTGACTCAGCAATCTCTCATTCATTCACTTCAATTCAACAAACTATCACAACTCCTCTCTTTCTCTCTCTTCAATGGCGGATCACAACCAAAAGGCTGAGATCTTTGAACTCAACAATGGAACCGTGCAGCTTCTCGTTACCAATCTCGGTTGCACAATCACATCCTTCTCTGTTCCTGGCAAAGATGGTTCATTTTTCTTCCCTTTCTCGTTCTCTCTCAATTTTCATAACTTTTTGTGATCTAATGGTGACGGTTTTATCTCTAACATGAAGGCGTATTATCCGATGTTGTTCTTGGTCTGGACGCTGTTGAATCCTATCAGGTTTGAATTGACCAAAATACCCTCTCTCTTTTTTTTTTAATCTTTTATTGGTAGTTAAGTTGTTTAGTTTTCACTTGGATCTGTCTTTGTCATTGATAGTTAAGATTACATACAAAACATGTATGTGTATTTTGTTGATTTTTTTAATGTTGTTTGTAACAAGCAGAAAGGTCTTGCTCCTTATTTTGGCTGCATTGTGGGTCGGGTTGCAAACCGGATTAAGGATGGAAAGTTTAAACTGGATGGAGTTGAGTACTCTTTGCCTCTCAACAGACCCCCAAACAGTCTTCATGGTATGGATCAATTCTATGAATGCATAATCTTTAATTTTTTTTGTGCTGGATTATGAAATGTTAATATTCGATAACATTCATCTTGTTTGAAGTCGAATTTACAACAATTTATGATTTCTGCTTGCTGATTTCCTATTCTCTGGTCAAATTCTAGGTGGAAATGTTGGGTTTGATAAGAAGGTATGGGAGGTACTTGAATATAAAAAAGGCGAAACTCCTTCAATCACTTTTAAGTATGAAAGTCATGATGGAGAGGAAGGTAGTGCTTTTTTCCTTTCTGTCTCACTTTTTTTTTTTTTGTAAGTTTCGTAGCTATGTAACACTGACACTTTAGATAGAAGGTGTGTCTGTGAGTGTCTGACACACAAACACGACACTGATATTTGGGGTTGCATACAATCACTTCTATTTCTCAAATTATTTCTAGTGTCGTGTATGTAGCTATTTCCTCTTTTTGCCTCACTTTTTAAAGTATTGTAGCTATGTAGCACTAACACTTTAGATTGAAAGCGTATATGAGTGTTTGACACTCCAACACGACACTGACAGCTGTGATTATGAACAATCACTTCTGTTTCTTAAGTTATTATCTAAGCCGTGTCTGTGTCATGCTTCATTGTATTACATTCACTATGCTCTTCCATTCCCTTCATCTGATTTTTGTTTTTAATATGCAAGGTTATCCTGGAGACATCACCGTTACCGCAACTTACACACTCACCTCGAGCACGACTCTGAGGCTCGACATGGAAGGAGTGCCTAAGAACAAGCCCACAATCATTAACTTAGCTCAGCATACATATTGGAACTTAGCTGGCCATAACTCTGGCCATATACTTGATCATTCAATCAAGATACCAGCTAACCATGTCACTCCTGTAGATCAGAACACAGTGCCAACTGGCGAAATCTTGCCAGTGAAGGGTACACCTTTTGATTTCACGACCGAGAGGAGAATAGGCGACACCATTAATCAGGTTGGACTAGGATATGACCATAACTACGTCCTCGATTGTGGCGAAGAGAAAGCTGGTTTGAAGCATGCTGCCAAAGTTAGAGATCCATCGAGTTCAAGGGTACTTAACTTGTGGACGAATGCACCCGGCATGCAATTCTACACAGCAAATTACGTCAACAACTTAGCTGGAAAAGGTGGCGCTGTATATGAAAAGCATGCTGGATTATGTCTCGAGACACAAGGATTCCCTGATGCAGTAAACAAGTCGCATTTCCCATCTGTTGTGGTTCGACCTGGCGACAAGTATCAACATTCTATGTTGTTTGAATTTTCAATTGAATGAATATTGTTGGAGAGTTTTAGTGAGTACTAAAATAAATAAGGTAGACTTGGATCTACTAATTAGTATGGTTTAGAAACTGAACTTTGGTTGCTAATAAAACTTTTACTTGTGTTTAAATAAGTGTCTGAAGTATTTGATAGACTCAATGTTAAGATCGTATGTTTCTCGTTGCCATCTTAATAGTGATCTCAAATTCAATGAAATTTCCAAAAATGTCCTTATCGCACAGTTAGGAACGCACTACATATTAAAAACAAACCTTAATCGGATTTCAATCAAAATCCCTATCGGTCCGAGATGCTTCTTATTTTCTTCTAAAATTTTAATATTTTAACTGAAATTTTGTTTGAATTTTGAAATTCAGTCCACCATGATATACTATTGATATTAGATAGTGAATCCATATTACAATATACAATTCAGTCCAGACATGTCTATTTGTGCATTGCATGCATCTGACCTTTAATCTCTGAACAGTGTGAAAGAGAATTTTCGGATTTCAATAGGGTTTGAAAGAACTATGTTGCAACAAGCATTGCCCAAAATCAAAATCAGATGATGAAAGAACTATAGTTGAACTATTAATATTGATTACACTTTTTGAACTGAAATTTCATTTAGCCAATGCACTCAAAACTAAATAAAATGTTGCATTGGTAAGTCACAACTATCCATATTTTCAAGTTATGTCCTATTATGATAAACCATGCATCGATCATGTCTTTACATTGTGCGAACCAATTCGAGCGGCAATGTTTCCATTGCAAGCTGAAAATTCCGATTAAGAAAATTGTTAAATGATCCTTCAAAGTGAAGATTATTGAGTGATAAGAATGAGGACAAAATGTAGATGCACTTACCCAGAGTCTTGGAGTTCTTGAGTCAGACTTCTTATGCAATTTAGATAGCTCTGATTGAAAACTTATAACAATTGCAACTTTGAACTCAATTGAAAAGGGACTGCACCAAAATACCAACAAAAACTAACAAATTGAGTCCTTAAAATAAGTATTGAGCTTTTCAAAAAATAGATTCTTGTGTAAGTTGAAACTAGCCTTCACATTTCAATTTTTATAGAAACTCCATCATTCAACTTCTCCATAAACATATATAGACATATCAGGACCTTTTTGTAAATGAAGATCTATAAACTTATTTTAATTGAAAAGCTTCCATAAGCTAGACACTACTACAAATTGTGTTTGGAGGCGTTTTAGGTGTGCTCATCATATAAGAGCTTATGTTTAAGTTATTTCTACAATCGAAGGGGGAACGAATGTAAACCGTGTGGATGAAAACAACTCGTGACACTAGAAACTTATGAAAATTAGCTGAAACAAATTATACAAATGGGTTGAGTGAGGTAGTGGAGCTCATATGTACTAGTTGAGATAGATAAGTATAAGCTGTTGGTCTAAGGTTCAATCTCAGACAAAAACATTTCTTTGTATTTTTCATAATGTACGAATGTAAACGAATTGTTAATATTTAAAAACCAACAACTTAAAAAAATGCAGATGCCATAAGATAAGTCTAAATAAACTCTCCCAAACAACCTCTTAGTGTCAAGCATTTTAGAGTAATTGTGCGAGCATGTGTGCGAGTGTATGCGTGTTATAACATTTACTCTAAAATACACATAAGACAATAATTATCACAAACGAGACGAGACACATACCCTGCGAAGATTGTTGGACAGGTCAAAAGTCGAGGAAGTATTACATAGATAGGCATAGTCAAATTGCGACACACATTACCATCTGCAATCTATTCAATACAAAAGAGAATAAACAACTTGTTGTAAAGGGTGACATGTTCTTATACAAATCCAGCATCACTTGCCTGAGTTGTTTGAATCAGTGAGGTTTCAGTCACAATTTTCTCGCCAACAAGAATGGATTCAACGCGAAATAACTGGATATCAATCGACTGAATTGGAACTGCCGATGCTTCGACAGTTAGTTCGCCATTAATAGGACTGGACAAAGAACACTGAGTACATATTTTCCCTGTCACCCGAAATCCACCTATTCAATAATAACTTTGCACAAGTCACAAACTTTTCTCATTGATGCTTTATAATCAGATTAAGAGAACATGTGTAGTCTTTGAATGAAAGAAAATTAACACACCGGATTTTAATTCAGGAAGAAGAGGATGTCTTTGAGTGTCTTGGGTGATGTAAAAGATGACCGTCTCTGGAGATATTGGTCTTTGTAGAAGGTCACCTGAAACTTTTCACAAACAAAAGAGATACCAGTGACTATGGTTATCAGTATTTTACGATACATGTGAGTTGAATCTCGATTTGACACAAAATTGATTTATAATAATACGATTCCAAAAATAGTTTGTCTGATACACAATATAAATCTTGATTTGATAACCATGATTTCAACACTCAGATACATAAAAGTAAAGAATAGGAGATAACGGAATCATACCTTTATCACTTTCAATGATGAACTCCGTCGTTGCTGATAAAGACTTATGCAAGTATCCGCGAGATATATCTACAGTCGCTAAATACTACAGAGGCTATCAATCACCAACCAGCCAAATTATGTGAAACATAAAAAGAAAAAAACTAAAGAAATAAGTTTACAAAATTGAACAAAGCATTTTCAAACATCATTTAACCATTTTACCTGGATACTAATATCTGCCCCGTGGAAAGTCTCATAAAATCTTTCTAAATTCTCTTCCTGTCTAAGATTTAATGAAAATGGTATCTGCCATAAAGATTACAAGATTTACAATGAACACAAGAGAATATGTCATACATAAACCAAATATTAAACAGATGTTTGACAGATATAATACCTAAGATTTGGTGACAAGAGCAATGTGTTATTGAAATGTATAAAAAAATAATTGGAAAAGAAAAGCCAAGTAAGTTGTGCAATCACACCATATTAAAATGCTTTAAATAGGCACATTCATTGACTATTGATATATTACCTCTGTCATGCCCGAACCGATCTTTCCAGAAGGTTTAACCTCAACGGTCCTCTTCCTGTTTAGAAGACGATCATAAGACATTCTTCAATGGTTTACTCGTCAAAAAAGACTATTTAGAGTCAATTGAATATGGAAGAAAACATTGTTAATTATTTAGACACGGCCTGGCTAATTATGAAATGAAAGAAAACCAATAACAGAAGTGAGTTGTTTAACTAGCTAAGGAAATAGGATCCCAAATATTGCAATACTGTCTTGATATGGTTTTTATGAGGCAACATTGCATAATCTTGGATGACTGATATTCACTAATCAATTTCATTGTGTAAAAGCCAAAAAATACTAATCGATTAGTGATTGATTTTAATAACTAAATCATTCACAATGTATGCAAATTTTACGAAGACATCTAATTTAGTTTGCCCATCTGATCACATCATAACAATACTAAGATTTGTTTATAGTATTGGCATTGCAAAATGATGACACACAATTAGATGGATTTGACTCCTGTAAAGCGAGTAGATAGTAATATGATGCGAAGAAATAGGGGGTTAATATTTCAACATGTCCATGATTTATCATACATGTATATGTAATATCAACCTTTGATTTGTTTATAAATAGTTGATACTACTCACATTAAAAAATTTAGATATGGCTTGGCAAAGAAATTGAAATGAAAGAAAATCAATAAAAGTGAATAGTATAACTACCAGAAGAAATAGGATCCCCAACATTGCAATACTGACTTGATACAGTTTTTATGAGGCAGCATTGCATAATTACTAGATGATTAAAAATCTAAGACAATCACTAATCAATTTGTGATTGAATTAAAAATAAGTTATTCACAATGTAAACAAATTTTACGAAGACTTCTGATAACACTTTTTCACCTTAGCACATCATACTAATACTACTTAAGATTTGTTTGTAAGACAGTGCTCAGGTTTAGATGGATTCGACTCTTCTAAAGTAAGCAAAGCAAGACCGTCTTAAGTTTTTGGAGGTCCTGAGTAGGTTAACCACATTTTAACCGTGGAGAAAAAAAATAGGGGCCATATTTTGTCATGGTTTAGTCGTGAGAATATGAATCCTTTTTAGCCACAGTTTAACCGTATCAAATTTTGGGCCATGTGCGGTAACCGCCTTGCACGCCCTCAAAGACGGCACTGACACAGAGCAGAGTAAGGAAAAGGAGGGTAAATATTTCAATATCCAGCTCCTATAAAGTACAGTGAGCAACTCAAATGTGAATACTTCATGTGCATCATAACAAATCATGAGCTTCTTGAAATAACATGCCCACGATTTCTTATACATGTTTATGCAATATCAACTATTGATGAATGTTCAATAAATGGTTAATATCATAAATTCCAAATTCTAAAGTAAAATGCTCATTTTTAAGAAGCCTAATCCTAGATTTCTGATTAGAATTTGTTTATACTATTCATGTAAACTTATTGAACTACTAGTAATCATTTTCCCCTATGAATGCACAACAACAAAATTATTTTGAGAAGTGATTTATGGACTTACACAATTGAGATAGGCTTAATAACACCATAGAATGACTCAACAACCCCAGCTGATCCTCCACGAACCTTCATTTCAAACCCAATAATCTCACAAAAATCAGCAAAACAAAATTCAAAATTCAAAATCCAAACTCACAACAACTAACATCCATCCCTAATCAAAATCAAATTCAAATACCTTTTAGTCAAATTTGAACTAGGTCGAACAAAATCTAGAAGAGTGGTACCTGCAAGTTGACGGATCCTTTGATGGTAATACGAATTCCATAGTGTGAAATTGAAGAGTGTGTTTCTACGATTATTTTTCCTTCCAGAAGTTCCTGAAAATTGAAATCGGCAAGAAAATCATTCAATAACATAATACTCATATATGGGTGTCTAGAGAGTGATAGAGAAGTGGAATTTACGGAAGGGCGATAGATACGATTTGGATGAGAGAGTTTGAGGTGAACGGACATGGCAACACTGAGCTTTAAGCTTTGTCTGTTATCAATG